TGAAGGGCTTAATCTAAAAGTTCCAGTTGCTGACTATAGATCCCTGCATTGACAGTTCGCTGTGGATTGAGTAGTTCGAAATGAATTACTCCTTTGATGTCCCACCAAATGCAAAGCATCACTTTCTGCGGATGGAGTCTAGGTTTGAGGTCGGAAGTGATTTTTGTCTAGAACTGAGCCATTCTTTTTGGCTTTTAATATTCGCATAAAGAATCCATTTTTCATCACCGGTGACTAATTCTGTCCAAAAATGGTTCACGCGCAACGTTGGAAACGATGATCATAGGAGAGTTCGTGAGACACCCAAACACCTTCTTTATGGAGCTTTCCCATATTCCTTAGATGTTTCATGAGAGGCAAGCAATTTCAGGGCCATTTCACGAGTGTGTTGCCATGGGTTAGACTTAGAAGTGTCTTCAGAGCATCTATATCAATTCCAACATGTCGGCCCCTGCCATCACAATTTGTAAGGCTAAAGTCACCTGAATGAAATTTGCTGAACCATCGTTGACACTTACAAACGTTCAAAACATTACCATGAAGTTGTTTGATATCCACAGAGGTGTTGTTTCCCTTCTTGTTTTAAAACAGCATTACATGCCGAATGTGTGTCTCGTTGTATGCCATCACTATAAGGGGTTGGAGTATACTAAATTTTACACATTATATAGTCTACACTAATGTGATCTTTAGGTGGTTCGTTTAACTATTATACATGATGTACGTTTTTTGGGGTGTGGTTAATAAAAATGTTCCAAAACGCGACATTAACTTCTTGACGACCTAATAAAAGACAGTAAAATATCTATTTTTTTTTTAAATCGGGAATCTAGTGTTAGCTCGATTGCTCTCTATTTCGAATCACACTACCGAGGCTTCAGACAGGTGATGAAACTGTTTTATGATTAGGAGAGAGAGGTTAATGGGAAGTAAGGGTATTTGATACGTATATATCCATGTATATATAAAAAAAACTGAAGCATAACATGTGTTGCAGTACTAACACATTTAATGGGACTACTGAAAGTTCATAACAACACTCCTATAGTGTAACGTCCCAAGAACACGCACGAGTGTCAAACTCATTTCACGAATGAGTAGCTACACTAGTAAACAACGAACTGGTGATGCTAAGCCACCAGTCCCTTCTTTTTTCCATGATTTCTGAATTGACCCCGTGCTTCATCTTCCAAACACAATTTTGTTTCTGTACCTCCCTGATTGGGGTATCTGGAATTGACTTTGGTTCAGCATTCTTCAGTTGATTGAGTACCATGAAGCCAGACACCCCAACACAAAATTCAGCATGCAACTTGAAGAAGACAAAACACTTCTGCTCCTAGATTTTGCAGACCATTATTACGACAGTGATCTATCAAATAATACCTACAGAAAACCACCAAATACACTATTCTACCAAAAGTCATGGAACACACATCTGACTGCAGGAAAATGGGTGTGACGACGAAATATGCAAATAGTTTGGCCTATAAAGGCGATCAGCGGTTCGCTCGTATGTCATTTCAAACTTGTACGCCGAACGATGAGTACATGGAAAGAACTAACAAAGTTTCAGAGGGGAAGGATAGTTGAGTGTCATTTGTGGAAAATGTCTGTTCGTGCTATTGCACAACAATTAAATGTTCCCAGATCTACAATTGGCAACCTGCTGAAGAACTGGAAGTCCACAGGTGACAATGAACCCAAGAAACGACCAGGTAGATGTAAAATACTGAGTAACAGGAGCCGACACGCCTTGAGAAGGATGGTTACCTCATCTCGCCGTCAGACCCTAGATAATCTGTGTTTGGAGATGAGTGCAGCCACAAGCAATCCTACAAATGTTTCCACGATACGTCGAGATCTGCATGCTATGAAATTTTACGGAAGAGCTGCAGCCCACAAGCCGTTGATAACAAAAAAAAATGCACACTGTTGATTGGCATGGGGCAAAGCCCGAACCTAGACCGTGAATTAATGAAAATCGGTCGTGTAGAGCGTCGAGTCACGCTACACGCTCTTCCAGTCTGATGGATGTGTTTGGGTATGGAGGATGCCTGCAGAATGCTTATTACCTGGGTGTTTTGTCCAAACAGTGAAGTTTGGAGGTGGTGGTATCATGGTCTTGGGATGCTTCTCGTGGTATGGACCAGGTCCACTGGTTGCAGTGAATGGATCCATGAATGATGAGTCCTCCATTGATGTTCTGAACAATTCTCTGTGTCCCATATTGTGGCAATTTTATGGTACCGTCCCTTACACCTTCCAACATGATAATGTTCCATGTCACAAAGCAAAGATTGTGAACGCGTGGTTTGAAGAGACTAACATCGGAACATTGCAGTGGCCAGCACAGAGCTCCGACCTCAATCCGATAGAACATCTTTGGGATGAAGTGGAACTCAGAATTAGAGCAATGGCAAGATGGCCTTCTTCAGTAGTGGAGTTTATTGATGCTTTAAAGGAGGAGTGGAGCACAATACTACCAGCTTTCTACCAGAAATTAGAAGACAATCTTCCACGACGCATTAAAGCAGTCATTAAGGCCAAAGTCGGGCCAACACGCTATTAATTTCTCGGAATAAAGACATATTTTATTCATAACTACCCGTGTCTTATGACGTTTGGTAGGATAGTGTACTTCATTTACAGATCAAATCATCCACAATCAATGAAATAATGCATGAAATCATGTCTCTTTAAGCGAGTACAGAAAGTTTGCAATGAAACTACATTGTAAGCAGAAATGCAACACTTAGAAACTACCCTTTAAAGCAATGGTTACCCAACAAACATAATCAAGTAGGTTACACGGAACAACAGAACAAACAAGAAACCACCAACAATGAAACTGAGTTGCAGCATAACTCCCCCATTCGTAAGAAAACTCCACCACGTTATTTAGAAGATCTGCAAGAAACACAAGCTTTAAGTTCGCTTCAAATCAATCTAAACTCTTCGCAACATTGTAACCAAAGTCAAAGAACTAACAAACAAACGAACAACCATGAATGTAGTTTCCGAAATGGCATGCACCCGTGTAGAGAGGTACATTGGGGGGACAAGAAGACACGTGAGACATCTTTTGAAAGAACATGAAGACACTATCAGACTAACGAAAACAAACACTCTCAACATTGCAGAACAAACAAACAGTAACAGGACATACTATAGACTGGAAAAAATGCATAGTGATCGATAAACAGAATAACTGGAAAAGAGACAAATGAACAGAAATAAACAACATACAATATGTGGATTATACAAGTTAAAAATGAACCAATCATAAAGCAAAATACACGTCCAATAAGAAAAGGCCCTCAACAAGGAACAGTCAGATCATCAAAATTTGTCCACAACCTATCTGACGGACCTGAAAAGAAACACACAAGTGTCCCAACAGCAAAAAACTACCACATTTTACCCTCTTTCCTCTTATGTCTTTCAAACAGCATTTGTTAGTAATATTGCTACACCCACTTCAGTAATATTGGAAATCAATACCTTCATGAACTGTTTTGTACTGTATTTACTATGGAAACGAACTTTTTATCGAATATGAGAGAGACATTTCAGAGCGCTTGAGTCTCTGTTGTTTTTTGTTCTGTTAAACGAAGGTTCAATCAGTTTGTGCACATCGTCCATGAGTAATTTAAGATAAACATTATGGATGAGAAAATTTTGAAATAATCTAAACTTCAGAGGAAAACGCTGAAGAATGTGATTAGTGGGGTGAACGCGAACTGTGTTTTTTAGATAAAATACTCTGTAATCATTATAGTTTTTGACGATTCTCTTAAAAGATGCTTTTCTAACATTACTTAAGCTCTACAGATAAAAGCAAATTTTAAGAGTTTTACTACTACGTCTGTATGTGCAGCAGATACCCTCTGATACGAAGACTCCGTTTGCACTAATTGTTTCGTTTACTCTGCAGACGATCAGCTCATTACGAATTACTTAGCTCGTATGTCACACGAAGTTTGATATACCACGTTTCTTGTCAAACGCTATGAAAACTCATGAACAAACTACATCTTAAGTGGATTTATGTTGACGCAATGAGGCAGTCTTAGCTTAAAGATAAATATATAGCAAATCTCAGAACGCAAAGTTTGTGATAACATAAATTTTCCATTTAAGAAAGGTAAAATTATATCATAAAAAAGAAACCATCTTGCATTTGTTGTTATTCACAGCAACTCACTGTTGCTAGATGGGCATTCATTATTCCATACAGAAACAGTACGTCGGTCTGTTTCATACCTGGGAATGTCCTATATGTGTAATTCATGTCTGTTCAGTAGTTGCTAACTGCATAAACTTACGCTCACACTAACTTGAAAAATCGTATACTTATGCATAACCAAAATAGATTGAGAATTACAAGTTTATGCATTGACATAATGGGTAAAAAGTGCTACCATCTATTGGTAATAAACGTAGCTATTATTTACAAAGGCTAGTGATAAGATAAAGAACTGTTAACTATCAAGTTGAATAATCCGTGATTGTGGATCTTCACTTTTTCAAAACTTGAAATTTATATACAAGTAGTAGCACTGGAATAATGAGCATTTTCTTCACACTTACATAAAATGGCAGTTTCATAATAATGTTAAAAATTGCTTATAGTTTTGTCGGTTTGCGTTCTTTGTATTGAACATTTTTCTCTCGTGAAAAGTATCAAAGCTCTAAAAAAAGATGTGTTAATAAATAAAGTTGATTATAGATATAAAATATCGTGTCAAGCAAAGTTTGAAAATTTCATAATTCACTTGTATTGCAAAACGAAGACCGTATCACTTGGATATTGTGAATGGTTATTCCAGAAAAATGTAATTTTTTAAATAAATAATTGACATAAAATGTAACTTATTCTAAATACCAGAAGCTCCAAGATATGTTTTATCAACTCCAAAACATATTAAAACTGAATAGTGTAATTGAAAGTAAGAATTATATATATATATATATAATACTGTAATATACCTACATGTATATGTATGGATATTATAGCTGTGTAATTACCTAAACATTTAGTCTAAAATTGACTATCAGTTAAAGTCATAATGTAATATAAAGTTCCAATATCATAGCATATTCGCAGAATTTAAATATTAGGAAATTGAATTGGATATTTTACGTACGAACAAGAAAATAAAATCCCTTTAATTTCTATTGTACGTCAAGTATTCTTTATATTATGAACACACTGTATTAGATATTTATGTGGTTCGTACCAAAACGATTTAATTTAATATTTGTTTAACTTATCCTTAAAAAACCACGCACAGAGAATGAAAGCTTTGAGAATATACTAAAAAAAATTAAATATGAATTTACTTTGAATCAAAAGCATTCTGACTCGTATTGATCGTAAATATTTTTATTCTGTTGTTCCTTTGAAAAATAAAGTCATGTATATCAATATTTGTAATCAAAGATGCGTCACTTTGTAAGACTTTGTTGTTAGCAAGACGCCATGAACAAAAGCATATTGATTTAGTATTACAACACTAAGTATTTGCTAACTTCTTGTTTTCGTTTTGCTTTAAGTGCAACACGATAGAGCGTTTACTAATGATGTTATTCTCTTTAGTTTCATTCCTCAGTTTTATCTCACTAAAAAAAAATAACTATTTATTAATCATATTCAAACAACTGTTGTGGTGTGAATGCCTTGCACTAGCGAAGCATGATTATAATAAATAAATTAATCATAAGACAACATTATTAGACTTGTTCTATCTTTAAGGGTACATTTATTGGTAATGAGCATGTAAAAATATTTTGTTCGGGTTATTTTTTTTTCAAATGCTTTAAAATCAATCAAGTATATATTTCGAAGCCCCCAAAATCAAGTTACACTTTTTGAGGATTTGTTTGTTTTAAAGGGCGAGCATGTTTGGTGTGACGGGGACTTTTTGAAGAACTTGTGAACATGTTAGGTTGACAAGTTTATAAATTCATCTGACCCAGCATGGCCAGGTGGTTAGAGTGCTCGACTCGCAGTCTGCGGGTCGCGAGTTCGAATCTCCGTCACACCAAACATGCTCGCCCTTTCAGCCGTGGGGGCGTTATAATGTGACGGTCAATTTCACTATTCGTTGGTAAAAGAGTAGCCCAAGAGTTGGCGGTGGGTGGTGATGACTAGCTGCCTTCCCTCTAGTCTTACACTGCTAAATTAGAGACGGCTAGCGCAGATAGCCCTCGTGTAGCTTTGCGCGAAATTCAAAACAAACAAACAAACAAACA